TGTTGTTTTTCATTTTGAGTAGATCTGTTTGTACCTTGTGGGTTGTGTTATGGGCATGGGAATTTTGGTTAAGTTTCGTTGGGGTTTTTTTGAGTTTTGTTTTTTTTGCCGTTTTGAGTGTGTTGTTGTGTTGTTTTTCATTTTGAGTAGATATGTTTGTACCTTGTGGGTTGTGTTATGGGCATGGGAATTTTGGTTAAGTTTCGTTGGTTTTTTTTTTAGTTTTGTTGTTTTGCCGTTTTGTGAGTGTGTTGTTGTGTTGTTTTTCATTTTGAGTAGATATGTTTGTACCTTGTGGGTTGTGTTATGGGCATGGGAATTTTGGTTAAGTTTCGTTGGGGTTTTTTTGAGTTTTGTTGTTTTGCCGTTTTGTGAGTGTGTTGTTGTGTTGTTTTTCATTTTGAGTAGATATGTTTGTACCTTGTGGGTTGTGTTATGGGCATGGGAATTTTGGTTAAGTTTCGTTGGGGGGGTTTTGAGTTTTGTTTTTTTGCCGTTTTGAGTGTGTTGTTGTGTTGTTTTTCATTTTGAGTAGATATGTTTGTACCTTGTGGGTTGTGTTATGAGCATGGGAATTTTGGTTAAGTTTCGTTGGGGTTTTTTTTAGTTTTATTCTTTTGCCGTTTTGTGAGTGTGTTGTTGTGTTGTTTTTCATTTTGAGTAGATATGTTTGTACCTTGTGGGTTGTGTTATGGGCATGGGAATTTTGGTTAAGTTTCGTTGGGGGATTTTTGAGTTTTGTTGTTTTGCCGTTTTGTGAGTGTGTTGTTGTGTTGTTTTCATTTTGAGTAGATATGTTTGTACCTTGTGGGTTGTGTTATGGGCATGGGAATTTTGGTTAAGTTTCGTTGGGGGGTTTTTGAGTTTTGTTTCCTCGTTGGATGCCCCTAACAAATTTATATATATAGATAGTGGAAATGCAATAATACCAGTTATAATATCATAAAATAATACATGGAATAATAATAATAGAGTAAAATAATACATGTAATAATAATAATAATAATAATAATAACAATAATAATAATAGAGTAAAATTATAAATGTAATAAAAATAATAACAGAGGAAAATAATAAATAACCTTGACTAGGGTATAAGCCAAGGGGGACTTTTTCAGCCTAAAAAAAGGGCTGAAAAACTAAGCTTATGCTCGAGTATATACAGTACTTTATTTTCCAGATCACAACACTGGACCACAGCAGCGCGTGGCAGGGGATGGGCTAGTGTGTGTATGTATATATGTATATGTATGTGTACATATATATATGCACTATAAACACATACACAAAAGCGTTATACAGCATAGGGAAAAGTGAACAGCGCTATGGGGTTTGTTTTGCTGTCTGTGACCCTGTACAAAAGATTCCACCTCCCTATTTGTCTCTGTGAGAATTTGAGAAATGTGGCTTGTTGTGAAAACAAGGACTGGGGATAAAAGGCTTCAGTGGAGACTCCTTTCCCCCAGGATAATAATTCTTTCAGGAGTGAATTTCCCTTCCGAGGAGTAGATTCCTTTCACTTCCTGTCGTCTCAGCTCCGTTCTTAACTAGGAGTTGGATGCAAGTCGGATGTCTGTAACGTGGGAACTGTGTGTATCATCTGTCTGGGAGTCCAGTGGAGTCTCCTTTTCTGGAGGTCTCTGAACTGAGGTTGGATGGTCATCTGTGGGGAGGGCTTTGATTGTGCATTTCTTTCCAGGCAGCCTTTGATTGTGTGTGTGTGTCTGGGGGGCATTTTCCATGCAACACACCTGTGGACCACTGAGTGTGTCCAACACACACACACAGTTTAAGTGCCAAACTACTACTCCCAGGTTTGTATAGCATTGAACCATCGCTGTCTTCAGTTTGGACATCACTTGCAAGCAAGTTTTCCTTTTCCTTTCTGAATTAGACAAATGAGCTTGAGCTACAAAAACACACACTGCTGCTGGTCACACTCTCTCAGCCTCAGACATTATTATTACACTACGTAACAAAACACAACACAATTTAATAACTCACAGAGATACAATTATTAAAGCAGAATTAAACATTGATAGTATTACAAAAATCACGAATAAAATCAATTTTTAAAAAAGAAAAAAGAAAACTACAATCCGTATTGACGTCTTTAATCCGGATTAGCCTTAATCCGGATTGCACCTCCCCCCCCCTCCCCCCCCATTCATATTCAGAGGCTCCATGACAAGAGAGACAATAGTTTGTTTGTTTAAAAAGAGGGGGGAATTCCAATCCAGATTGAGGTCTTTAATCCGGATTAGCCTTAATCCGGATTGCACCTCCCTCCCCCATTCATATTCAGAGGCTCCATGACAAGAGAGGCAATAGTTTGTTTGTTTAAAAAGAGGGGGGAATTCCAATCCAGATTGAGGTCTTTAATCCGGATTAGCCTTAATCCGGATTGCACCTTCCCCCCATTCATATTCAGAGGCTCCATGAGAAGAGAGGCTATAGTTTGTTTGTTTGTTTAAAAAGGGGGTTCAATCCGGATTGAGTCTTTAATCCGGATTAGCCTTAATCCAGATTACACCTCCCCCCCCCATTCATATTCAGAGGCTCCATGACAAGAGAGACAATAGTTTGTTTGTTTAAAAAGAGGGGGGAATTCCAATCCAGATTGAGGTCTTTAATCCGGATTAGCCTTAATCCGGATTGCACCTTCCCCCCATTCATATTCAGAGGCTCCATGAGAAGAGAGGCTATAGTTTGTTTGTTTGTTTAAAAAGGCAATTCCAATCCGGATTGAGGTCTTTAATCCGGATTGCACCTCCCCCCCCCCATTCATATTCAGAGGGTCCATGACAAGAGAGGCAATAGTTTGTTTGTTTAAAAAGAGGGGGGAATTCCAATCCGGGTTGAGGTCTTTAATCCAGATTAGCCTTAATCCGGATTGCATTTTTCCCTCCCCTTTTCCTATCCAGAGGCTCCATGACATGAGAGACAATTGCTTTGTTTGTTTGTTTAAAAGAGAGAGAGAAACTCCACATTGAGATCTTTAATCCGAATTAGCCTTAATCTGGATTTGGAGTTTCCCCCCAATCCAGATTTAGTGGCTCAATGTTGTTTTTTGTATTTACTTTAGAAAACGAAAAGCTCCAATCTGGATTGAGGTGTTTGAACGGGATTAGCCTTAGTTTTGTTCGTCCAGATGGAGGTGTTTAATCCGGATAAGACTTAATCTGGATTTGGAGCTCCCCCTCCCCCTAATTCAGATTTACTGGCTCAATGTTGTTTTATGTATTTACTTTAGAAAACAAAAAGCTCCAATCTGGATTGAGGTGTTTGATTGGGATTAGCCTTAGATTTGTTTGTCCAGATGGAGGTGTTTAATCCGGATTAGCCTTATTCTGGATTTGGAGCTCCCCCCAATCCGGATTTACAGGCTCAACGTTGTTTTATGTATTTACTTTAGAAAACGAAAAGCTCCAATCTGGATTGAGGTGTTTGAACAGGATTAGCCTTAGTTTTGTTTGTCCAGATGGAGGTGTTTAATCCGGATTAGCCTTATTCTGGATTTGGACCCCCCCCCCACCAATTCGGATTTATTGGCTCAATGTTGTTTTATGCATTTACTTTAGAAAAAGAAAAACTCCAATTTGGATTGAGGTGTTTGATCGGGATTAGCCTTAGTTCTGTTTGTCCAGATGGAAGTGGTGTTTAATCCGGATTAGCCTTATTCTGGATTGGGAGTTCCCCTCAATCCGGATTTACAGGCTCAACGTTGTTTTTTGTATTTACTTTAGAAAACAAAAAGCTCCAATCCGGATTGAGGTGTTTGAACGGGATTAGCCTTAGTTTTGTTTGTCCAGATGGAAGTGTTTAATCCGGATTAGCCTTATTCTGGATTTGGAGCTCCCCCCAATCCGGATTTAGTGGCTCAATGTTGTTTTTTGTATTTACTTTAGAAAACGAAAGCTCCAATCTGGATTGAGGTGTTTGAACGGGATTAGCCTTAGTTCTGTTTGTCCAGATGGAGGTGGTGTTTAATCCGGATTTACAGGCTCAACGTTGTTTTATGTATTTCCTTTAGAAAAAGAAAAGCTCCAATCTGGATTGAGGTGTTTGAACGGGATCAGCCTTAGTTCTGTTTGTCCAGATGGAGGTGGTGTTTAATCCGGATTAGCCTTAATCTGGATTAGAGCTCCACCCAACCCCCAATTTGAATCCAGCGGCTCAATGACGAGGGAGTCAATAGTTGTTATATATATATATTAAAAAAGCTCTAATCCGGATTAAAGATAATCCGGATTAAGGTCTTTTCCACGCAGCTGTGGGCCGGGGGTGGAGTGGGGGGTTGGGTTCGCTCCCCGTCGTGGATGGCCAGATTTAATCCGGATTAAGGCGCCCCCAATCCGGAATCAATCCGGATTAAGCGGGAATATAAATAAACAAATAACTCCAAGAGCCCAACTCACGGCGAAGGGTGGGCGACGTCCTCGGCGGCGTCGTAGAAGAGCTCCTCGGGGTCCGAGTCGGAGGCCATCCCCGGGCAGCAGCGGCAGCCGCGCAGAGCGGGTCGGGCCTGGCCCCCAAGTCTCGCGAGAGGAAGGAAGGAAGAAGGGGCGGGGCCACCAGGAGCCCCGGGAAAAGGAGGAGGGGGGGGAAGCAACACCACCAAGAGGGTTGGGAAGAGTCACTCGCACGCATCACTTCCGGCTCCCAATCGCTGGGTAAGAGGTGGAAGCCAAGGAATCCTGTATGCCTGCAAAAACATACATAGATCCCTGTGCATGGAGATCATACATCTATCTATATCTATCTATCTATCTATCTATCGATCGATCGATCGATCAATCGATCGATCTCTCTCTCTCTCTCTCTCTCTCTCTCTATCTATATCTCTATCTATCTCTCTCTCTATCTCTCTCTCTCTCTCTCTCTATCTCTATCTCTCTATCTATCTCTATTTATCTATCTCTCTCTCTCTATCTCTATCTCTCTCTATCTCTCTCTCTCTCTATCTCTCTATCTCTCTATCTATCTCTCTCTCTCTCTCTATCTATCTTTCTATCTTTCTATCTATCTCTATTTATCTATCTCTCTCTCTCTATCTCTATCGATCTATCTATCTCTATCTATCTATCTCTCAATCTCTCTATCTCTATCTATCTATCTCTATCTATCGATCTATCTCTCTCTCTCTATCTATCTATCTATATCTATCTATCTCTATCTATCTATCTCTATCTATCTATCTATCTATCTATCTCTATCTATCTATCACTATCTATCTCTATCTATCTCTATCTATCTCTATCTATCTATCTCTATCTATCTATCTATCTATCTATCTATCTATCTCTATCTATCTCTTTCTATCTATCTCTATCTATCTCTATCTCTCTATCTCTATCTATCTATCTATCTATCTCTATCTATCTCTATCTATCTATCTCTATCTATCTATCTCTTTCTATCTATCTATCTATCTATCTATCTATCTCTCTATCTATCTCTATCTATCTATCCATGGTAGTTAATGTGATAGTTTCTATCTATATATATAAAAATGCTCTGTGCATAATGAGTACCTTAAAAACAAAAGAACCAATGGACGAAATCACACCAAATTTGGCAACAAAACGTCTCACAACACAAGGAGTGACCATGACTCAAAAAATTATGATTTTGTCATTTGGGAGTTGTAGTTGCTGGGATTTATAGTTCACCTACAATCAAAGAGCATTCTGAACTCCATCAACGATGGAATTGAACCAAACTTGGCACACAGCACTCTCATGACCAACAGAAAATACTGGAAGGGTTTTATGGCCATTGAACTTGAGTTTGGGAGTTGTAGTTCACCTACATCCAGAGAGCACTGTGGACTCAAACGATGATTGGTCTGGACCAAACTCAGCATGAATATTCCATATACCCGAATATGAAAACAGGTGGAATTTGGGGAAATAGACCTTGACATTTAGGAGTTGTAGTCACTGGGATTCACAGTTAACCTACAATCAAAAAGCATTCTGAACCCCACCAACAATGGAATTGAACCAAACTTGGCACACAGTTCTCCCATGACTAACAGAAAATACTGGAAGGGTTTGGTGGGCATTGACCTTGAGTTTGGGAGTTGTAGTTCACCTACATCCAGAGAGCACTGTGGACTCAAACAATGATGGATCTGGACCAAACTTGGCACAAATATTCCATATGCCCAAATATGAACACAGATGGAGTTGGGGGGAAATAGACCTTGACATTTGGGATTTGTAGTTACTGGGATTTATAGTTCACCTACAATCAAAGAGCATTCTGAACTCCACCAATGATGGAATTGAACCAAACTTGGCACACAGAACTCTCATGACCAATAGAAAATACTGGAAGGGTTTGGTGGGCATTGACCTTGAGTTTTGGAGTTGTAGTTCACCTACATCCAGAGAGCACTGTGGACTCAAACAATGATGGATCTGGACCAAACTTGACACAAAAATTCCATATGCCTAAATATGAACACAGATGGAGTTTGGAGGAAATAGACCTTGACATTTGGGAGTTGTCGTCACTGGGATTCACAGTTCACCTACAATCAAAGAGCATTCTGAACCCCACAAATGACAGAATCAGGGCAAATTTCCCACACATAACCCCCATGACCAACAGAAAATACTTAAGGCCATCCAATCCAAGAAAATGTAATCAAAGTCCTCCTGACAAAGAGCGTTCCAGCCATAGAGATAGATAGAGAGATAGATAGATAGATAGATATGATTCACACACACACAGATATAGTATCATTGATTTGAAAGAGACCCTTAAAGAAGGACAGTGATATGTTGCATGTTCCAGAGTAGGCAAACCAGACACTCTCCACATCAACACTGACAAAGAAACAGCAAGAAATACTGTTTACCCACAAGCAGAAAGAAATTACATATATTAGAAACCAACACTTTCTCATTACTTTATTTTCCAGATCAACAGACTGGGCCACAGCAATGCGTGGCAGGGGACAGCTAGTATATATATATGCACACACACACACATGCACACACATATATATCTATATAAATAAAAATGTAATGTTCGTTTGTGGGATTAACAGAACTCAAAAACCACTGGACGAATTGACACCAAATTTGGACACAAGACACCTTTCAGGCCAATGAGTGACCATCACTCATAAAAACACAAAAATAAACTCAGCAGGACGGACTTAACCCCCCCCCCCCACAAATTAACTATATATAAACATACACTCATATACATATACACATGCACACATACATACAGACACACACATATATATATACACAAGCACACACAAATATACACATTCATATACACATACACACATACACATATATTTACATAATACATATACACATGCACACATACACATATAGACATACATACACAGATATATACACAAGCACACACATATACCCAATATATATATATATACACATATAAACACAGAAATACACACACACACACACACACACACACACACACACACACACACACATATATATAGTATCAGAATATATATATATATATAATACTAGCTGTGCCCTGCCACGCGTTGCTGTGGCCTATAGTAAAACTTATCAAAGTTGAGGTAGATATCTGGACTATTATGAAAGAGAGGTCCCTACCTATTCCTTCCCCCTTTTCCTCCCCCTTTCTCTCCTTTCTTCCTTCTCTACCTCTTTCTTTCTTTCACTACTTGGTTTCATCCTTCTCTCTTTCCTTCATTCCCTCCCCCTTTCTTCCTTTGCCTTTCTTCCCTCCCTGTTTGCTTCCTTCTTTCTCTTTTTATTTCCTTTTATTTCACCACCATCATAACAATAACAATAATGCAATGCATTGCCTCTGGGACCTGACACCTCTCCCATTCCCCCTAAAAGGGTCTCATAGGAACAATAGCATCATCATAATAATAATAGAAATAACAACCTTTACCCGCCACGTGTTGCTGTGGCCAAACTTCCCTCTTTCTCTCCTTCTTTACCTCCTTCCTTCCTTCCTTCCCTCCCATCTTTCCTTCTCCTCTTCCTTCTCTATCTCTTCTCTCTTCCTTCCTTCCTCTTTCCTTTCTTCTTCCTTCTTTCTCTAACTTTCCTCCCCCCTTTTTCTTTCTTCTCTTCTCTCTTCTTTCCTTCCTCTTTCCTTTTCTTTCCTTCTCTCTTCCTTCTTTCTAACTTTCCTTCCCCCTTTTTTCTTTCCTCCCTTCTCTTTCTTCCTTCTTTCCTTCCTTCTCTCTTTGCTTCCATGCTTTCTTCTGATGGAGCTGGGGGGGGGGGGGGGGGTGGGGTTGCGTGTGTGTGTGCGGCAGCGGGGGAGTGATGGAGCGTGGGGTTGGGTGTGTGTGTGCGGCGGCGGGGGGAGGGATGGGGCGTGGGGTTGCGTGTGTGTGTGTGCGGTGGGGGGTGGGGTTGCGTGTGTGTGTGCGGCGGCGGGGGGAGTGATGGAGCGTGGGGTTGCGTGTGTGTGTGCGGCGGCGGGGGGAGTGGGGTTGCGTGTGTGCGTGCGGCAGCGGGGGAAGTGATGGAGTGTGGGGTTGCGTGTGTGTGTGCGGCGGCGGGGGGGGAGTGGGGTTGCGTGTGTGTGTGCGGCGGCGGGGGGAGTGATGGAGTGTGGGTTTGTGTGTGTATGTGCGGCAGGGGTGTGTGTGTGTGCGGGAAAGCGGCGCGGCGGGGCTTGGAGTGGGCATGGTTTCCGCAGAGGGAACGTTGGCCGGAAGGGCATGTGCGCGCGCCAGGGAACTTGCGGCTGGGCGCCAATGCGCATGCTCAGTTGTTTTGCCGTTTTGTGAGTGTGTTGTTGTGTTGTTTTTCATTTTGAGTAGATATGTTTGTACCTTGTGGGTTGTGTTATGGGCATGGGAATTTTGGTTAAGTTTCGTTGGGGGTTTTTTGAGTTTTGTTGTTTTGCCGTTTTGAGTGTGTTGTTGTGTTGTTTTTCATTTTGAGTAATATGTTTGTACCTTGTGGGTTGTGTTATGAGCATGGGAATTTTGGTTAAGTTTCGTTGGTTTTTTTAGAGTTTTATCCTTTTGCCGTTTTGTGAGTGTGTTGTTGTGTTGTTTTTCATTTTGAGTAGATATGTTTGTACCTTGTGGGTTGTGTTATGGGCATGGGAATTTTGGTTAAGTTTCGTTGGGGGATTTTTTGAGTTTTGTTGTTTTGCCGTTTTGTGAGTGTGTTGTTGTGTTGTTTTTCATTTTGAGTAGATATGTTTGTACCTTGTGGGTTGTGTTGTGGGCATGGGAATTTTGGTTAAGTTTCGTTGGGGGATTTTTGAGTTTTGTTGTTTTGCCGTTTTGTGAGTGTGTTGTTGTGTTGTTTTTCATTTTGAGTAGATATGTTTGTACCTTGTGGGTTGTGTTATGGGCATGGGAATTTTGGTTAAGTTTCGTTGGGGGGGTTTTGAGTTTTGTTGTTTTGCCGTTTTGTGAGTGTGTTGTTGTGTTGTTTTTCATTTTGAGTAGATATGTTTGTACCTTGTGGGTTGTGTTATGAGCATGGGAATT